CTCGCTTTGGTTTATTTGTTCATTTTTGGACAAATTCTAACTTCTGACCAAAGAAGTAGAAGTTAAGAAATGTTTTTAAAGGGAGTGTTCGCGAAAAATGAAAGGGGGGGTATATGAATAATGCGATAAAAAAGCGCTTTTGATCGCTACTAATCTTACTTCTATCTGTTGCGTCTATAAAGAGAAAATTGTTAGACATCTCATACCAAATAACTTAACGCCCATACAAATTCAGAAAATAGCAACATACGTCTTAGACCGTAAAGAAATCAATTTAATTTCAAACAAATCATTCAGATATTACTACCTATAGTCATCGATTATCTTTCGCCACATTTGTATATAGTTTATATTTCATAATTTTTTTAAAATTAATTTGTTTTGAATCTGATTATTTCTCTTTTCGCTTGCGCAACTATCTAAAAATGCCGCGGACCACTCACATTTTTCAAAATCCGTTAAAACGTTTTCTAAAAAAATAAAATATTATAAAATATAAACTATATAAAAACGTGGGGAAAGATAATCGATGACTATAGGTTGTAATATCTGAATGATTTGTTTGAAATTAAATAGATTTTTTACGGTCTAAGTCGTATGTTGCAATTTTCTGAATTTGTATGGGCGCTAAGTTATTTGGTATGAGACGTCTTTAACAATTTTCTCCCTATAGACGCAACAGATAGAAGTAAGATTAGTAGCGATCAAAAGCGCTTTTTTAACGCATTAAGCCTATACCCCCTTTCATTTTTCGCTAACACTCCCTTTAAGTTGAATTTGACAGTTGATTTCGGTGCTCCATAAAGTTTGTGAGATAACAATTTGACATTTCATTTAGTGTAACAATCTATATATTTATGCTTTCTTGTCTGCCTTTTAGTCTGTTTGTTTGTGTCAAATAAACGCCAAATGGCTGTTTCACTTGGGCCCATCATTGTGTGTGGGGCCTCACATGACCCCGAGAAAGGTTTATGGATGATCAAAATTTAAAAAATAGCCTCTCACGAAGAGAAGACTAGAATTCTAGAATACTACTGAAGAGTTAGAATATGTAATTTATACATCATACAAAGGACTAAAACTGACCCATTGCGTAGAGTGTGTTTGACTGTAAGAAAGAGTGTGTGTCTGTGTTAATGACCCAGGGTCAACCCTGCAGGTACTTCTGTGAGCATAATACACTTCAAATATATAAAGTTTAAACTTTCCTTGAAGATAAACAAATAGTTCAACTGAAACGCAGCTGTTCTAATTTCGGTGAGATATAATTACACCCTTTATTATCCTCACCTCTTACACAAAACTTTCCTCTGCGTTGTAAAAACTTTTAACAAAGTTAACAAATTTTTATGTAAACACTAAACACCCGCCTTACCAAATCATCATAGATTAATAACAATACAGATAGAATCTCGTCTTTTCAAGACTTAGGGGTTACGCGCAGGCTCTCTTTCTTTGTATTATTCTTCATTTTTATCAATCTATGACAGAATCCAATTAGACAGAATGAGAGAGTCAAATTTATGCAACATTTCTGTTAATACTTTGTGACCTCGTACCACCTCTAGGTTTGATTTTATGATTTTCGCGAACACTCCCTTTAAGACCAATTTACTGTATTTTGACTTGATCTAAGGTTTCTATTTAAATTCTATAAATAATTAATTTACATTCGGTTAAAACGTTTACTGAGTAAAGAATGGTATATTGTGTAGTATCCAAGGTTCATCATGACATGAAAATAATCATTAAAGGTTAATAATATATAGACTGAGGACAAATATGATCTATTATTAAAATTAATGTTTATCTTTTGCCTCTTGTCTTGACCAGGGGCAAGGCAGTAACGACAATATTCATAAAGTACGCCGCCTTCGCAGTTTGGTCGGAGCTCAGACTATATAAATATTTATAGACCTCTAGTTGGCACTATTTGTCTTGATAAGTACCACGAAATCCCCTGTAAAAGTAGGAAAATTGAATCTTCAAAATTCAAAATCCCCCCCCCCCAAGATTACTGAACATCTATAGAGGTCTTTATACATATACATGTATACAGCCTGAGAGTCTGACACTGATATCAGTAAATCAGCTGTATTCAATTCAGTTTTTTCTAAGATCAGAACTCGAACCACAGAACAGAGATTAGAATTGAAAGAAAAATATCTCTTGGTATGAAATGGTTCAGTTCCTTAAATTTGAGTCTGAAAAAGAGTTCAAAGTGTACAATTCATGTAAACGTTTACAAATTATACGCAGTACAAGGAATACCATATGATCCCTGGAAATATTGATTACAATTTCTTCTTTTTATAAAGTTTATGCCGAAATGAACTCACGAATGCATATTAAAGCTTATGCTAGGATGAACTCGGGAATGCATGAACAGGTTTTCAGAGAATTGATTTAGAGAAAATTAAATAATTGTTAAGAACATTTTTTCTTTAAAAAGATGTTCCAGGATCCAAATGTTTTGTAGCACGAATGTGTGAAGTACACCTGCAGTTTGAAAACAGTACTACAAAATGGTGGATTTTTTCGACTATACGTTTCAGATGTGTAGAAATATATTTCTCAATATAAATTTGTCAATAAATCAATGTTAGAATTGATTATTTCGTTTTCATCATTTTGTTGAATTTCTTATTCTTTACGAATTTATTTACAGATTTTTACGAAATCTTCAAATGTCGTCTTTTCAATAAAAATTCCAGAAAATCTACAGAGAATGTTTGTGAACAATGAGAAATTACAGAAGTTAATATCTAAATAAGATTAATTATTTTCGATGATAAGATTTACTTTTTATTTTCTCAACCTGTTCCTAATAAACTAGTTAGTTTACTGTAGAATTTGTGTTACATTTTTGTCGTCGTTATTTAATAATTTTGAAAAAATCAATTCTCCAAACGTGAACACCCAAATGTATTAATTAAATAGCCAACTTTGAGCTCAAACTGAGTAACTTTACATCATTAAAACGTATATGTCTCAAATGAATTTTAAAATATTGCGCCACAAACATCTCAGTTCAACTACCATACATTGCCGGTCACCCCCTTTAACAGGTTAAATCCATTAAGCAAGTAGTTTACACTATGATGTCCGTTCAGTTGAAATGCAAAGCGTTATCACATCCAAATGATGAAAAATGAAATCCGATTCTGTAGAATAAATAATAGAAACTTGATATCTTAACTTTGTCTCATTTGTTCCTGCCAACTTTTTTACATTATTATTAACGTTCTGATTAGAAATTCACATCGTCTGTTCGTCTGTCTTTTTTGTGTCAGTTAACAGACAGTTCTGAAGATTTTAAACCGTGTCTCTCAGGAATAAACTCTTTGAGAGTTTTCGTGCTTCCTTTTAAATATTCAAACATTTTTTTTACTTTCAAGACACAATTTAGGCTGTTGTTATATTTCAAAATTATATTCTCAAATTGGCTTTTATATCAAAACTAATATCGATCGTTTTCAGTCTTTTTTTTGGTTTCATTCTTTGTTTTCAATCTTCATTTTCCTTCTCCATTTTCCTTCTTCGTTTTCATTCCTCAATTTAATTCTTCGTTTTCGTTCTTTCTTTTCATTCCTCATTTTCCTTCTCTGTTTTCAATCTTCGTTTTCATTCCTCTTTTTCAATCTTCGTTTTCGTTCTTCATTTTCATTCCTCAATTTCATTCTTCGTTTTCATTCTTCATTTTCATTCCTCAATTTTATTCTTCGTTTTCATTCCTCGTTTTCATTCTTCCTTTTTCTTCGTTGTTTTCATTCCTCCTTTTCAATCTTCGTTTCATTCTTCATTTTCATTCCTCAATTTCATTCTTCGTTTTCAATCTTCGTGTTCATTCTTCATTTTCCTTCCTTGTTTTCAGTCCTCCTTTTCAATCTTCATTTTCATTCTTCGTTTTCAATCTTCGTATTCAATCTTCATTTTCATTCTTTGTTCTCAATCTTCGTATTCATTCTTCATTTTCATTCTTCGTTTTCAACCTTCGTTTTCATTCTTCATTTTCATTCCTCAATTTTAATCTTCGTTTTCATTCTTCGTTTTCAACCTTCGTTTTCATTCTTCATTTTCATTCCTCAATTTTAATCTTCGTTTTCATTCCTCGTTTTCATTCTTCCTTTTCCTTCTTTAGTTTCATTCCTCCTTTTCAATCTTATTTTCATTCTTCATGTTCATTCCTCAATTTCATTCTTCGTTTTCATTCTTCATTTTCATTCTTCCTTTTCCTTCTTTGTTTTCATTCTTTCTTTTTATTCCTCCTTTTCATTCTTCGTTTTCATTTTTCATTTTCATTCCTCAATTTCATTCTTGGTTTTCATTCTTCAATTTCATTCTTCGTTTTCATTCTTCATTTTCATTCCTCAATTTTATTCTTCGTTTTCATTCCTCGTTTTCATTCTTCCTTTTTCTTCGTTGACTTCGTTTTCATTCTTCATTTTCATTCCTCAATTTTAATCTTCGTTTTCATTCTTCGTTTTCATTCTTCGTTTTCATTATCTTTTTATTGTCAAAGTAAACATTTGTTTCGCAAGGTTATAAAAACAAATTTGTGAGGCAAGCAATGTTTTGTGTAAAATATCAACTCTACTTCAGCTAAAATAAGAAAAGACTGTCTCAAGATCAAAATCAGAATTGGATAAATCTATCTTCTTATATCTCAGACCTTCAGTCTTAACGGGCTATCTAAGTCTCACTTTCTCTAAGTAGTACTCCTAAAAGTGAGTGCTAGCAGAATATTTTATTAACACAATACAGTGTTTATTTATAGGGTTTATTTCTGCTTTGCTTTACAATAATAGAACATAGCAATTTATTTCTTACATACTTAAACACTAAATATCAAAAGACATAAAATAAAATGTAGAGCTGTATGAATGATAATGCAACAAAGAGCTGTATGAATGCTTGCATCAAGTGCATTCAACAGGCAGATGTTTTCCAAAGTCTCTATTTTTATCAAGTAATATTTTTTTTTAAGATATTATTTTTAGATTATTGATGACGTTAGCTGGAGTTGACACTTGCTATCTTCTCACATCATCATTATCATTCTCCTTGAAATCAATCTCACAGGAACAATTGAATCAGAAAATTGGGAACATTCCCTTTCTTCTCTTCTTTGAGGGAGGGGCGGCAGGGTCGCCATGAGCCCCGCAAAATGGTCTCCAAGCCTCCGTGTTCGCAGATGAGTATTTTAAATGACCCCTAAACGTGAGAAATTTTAGAAATTTTTTGATAAAATATTTGATATTTCAATAGTTATGCAATGTTCTTGGATATTCAAGAAAACCCTTTTTTGAAGAAAATATTTGAAAGGGGTAGCGCCAGGTCAATTTAGAAACTCATCTTCGAATCAACAGTCTTGGAGGAGATCATTTTGCGGGGCTCAAAACGTCCCTTTCCGTCCTCCTCTCCCTACTAGTGGCATGTCCAAGACACAACGGTACCCTTTGTCTGTATTTGTCTAATCAGGGATGTGTCAGATATCCATGTTTTTCTTTTAAAAAAATGGATTTTTTTCAATTGTAGTTTTTTTTACAAAAGTTACTTGCTGCAGAATCAATGGAGAAATCATGACACTGATTGCAAACCCGTTTCGTCTCGTCTCGTCCCCAAATCTTTTTTTTTAAAGATTCATGTTCGTTTTTTAAACACATATACATCTCAAAGCCAGCTATCCAGCGTTAACGAACGAAGCTTCGTTATCAAACGGAAGTTTAGAAAGTGAACACGAAATTCCGCCAACCGATGAAAAGAAGAGTTCAGTTTTAAACTTATTAACTGAATTATTAAAAAACGAACGGAGGTAAACATATTCCCTCGCACCAGTCCTTCTAGTGTACCCAGTGTGTAGTGGACTGGCTGTTGGTTGGTTGAATCAGCATATATACTATTCAAGTACATCCTTAGCTCTCTATTACTATTTCTTCTATTATTACTATTATTGATTCAATTATACTGCCTGGTTTAGACCTACAGAAATACAGGTTAGAAACTTTAATATAGATCAATATTATGTTTAAAGACATAGATATAAATATAGATATAGATCAATATTATGTTTAAAGAAAAAGATATAGATATAGATCAATATTATGTTTACAGATATAGATATAGATCAATATTATATTTATTAGATGTCTCTCCTTAATCTATTATATATCCTTGGACAAAAAAAACATAATTCACACAAAGTAATTAAGTCTTTGCCACAAACTCTGATTTTCTAATCTTTATATCTTTGCAACCCGATTGATCGTCGACCTTAGATATTTCGAACTGATTTTACAACATTTATAATTTTGAATATCAAACATCAGGCTGCAAAGATATAGTGGTTAGAAAATTTTAGCTTGTGAAAAAAAATCATTTCCATTACCTATTAAAACAAATTTTGATAAAGTGTCGTTACAGACCCTTAAAAGCACTGCATTTTTTACAACAAAAAGGAATTGAGTCTTTGCATCATACTCGAATTTTCTAATTACTATATCTTTGCATTCTGATGTTGTACACACTTGATATTTCAAACTTAGATTATTTGATCAAACAAAATTCATATTTTGAAGAGGTCTAAAGTTTACGACATTGGATTGCACGGAAATAGGGATTAGAATATCAGAGTTTGTGACAAAAACTCAATTCCTTTAACAAAGAATGTGACAACTTCTATTAATATTGGCTGAAAACACTTTTTGCCTCTTTGTTGGATATTGCTGAATAAATGTTGAGATTAATATCGAACTTTTTATTTAAAACTTTACCAGCAGACCTTTGAAGTTTTAAAATATGAATTAGATTTGTTTTCTTTAGTTTGGAACCTCATTGTACCATATACTCTACCTATAGCTCAGGTTAGTGGGGGTTAGTTGAACCAGGGGGTAGGGGGGAATTATTTATTCAGGTGGTTGAGATCATCTTTAATTTTGGCGATTCCAGGACTTGTCTTCAGTCTGGTATTCACTCTACCTAACTACTTTATGATCAGGTTAATTCTTGTATTCACTCTACCTAACTACTTTATGATTATATTAGTTCTAGGTCTTGTATTCACTCTACCTAACTACTTTATGATAATTCTAGGTGCAAGTGTATAGTGTATATCTAACTGTCAATATATATCTATATATTTAGACAACTATGAGTGCAAGTGTATAGTGTATATCTAACTGTCAATATATATCTATATATTTAGACAACTATGACAGCAAGTGTCTATCTAACGATCTCGCTGACGATTGAAAGATATTTCTCAGTTGTGAAGCCCTTCTACCAGCTGAGAAATAGGTAAGTAAATACATTCTACCGGCATAGTTTGTCCTTACAAAGGTATTTTTTTTCAAGGGGAATGAGGGATGAGGGATGATAAGGGGGGATGAGGGATGATGGGTCTTTTAAAAAAATGGATTTTT